TTGTTGATATCCGATTAATATGATTTTTGGTAGGCTTGAAGTACTCAACAAATCCTACAAAATGAACAGTTCAGATCATAAAAATAAGCCCATAATACATCACAAAATGTAACACAACAGTCACTGCTGTGCATTAGCCACAGCAGTGACCCCGGAGACTCAAAAAGAGCAGTTAGAGATTCAAACATTAAATATAACAAAAACAGTTTTGTAAAAATCTTAAATTAATATAATCAAATTATGGGAAACAATGTGACGCAAATGATGACCATTTTGACGATGGCTCTCGAGGATTTAATTTATTAATTAATACAAAGGATTAATAACACTTAGTTGTCTTGCATTTTTATTAAAATCTTATTTTGATCCCTTCACTTTTAATTGTACCAATCAACTTTTATACATTTTGGAAAAACAAAATCAAGACAGCAGTGTTTATGCACAGAATTGGCATCTTAGATGCTTCTGCTTCTCTCATCTGCCCATTTTGTCGTTCTCAACCTGAAACTGCTGTCCATATCTTGCTTCATTGCCCATTTTCTTGGTTGATTTGGTCATCTATAATTAATGAGTGGGGGTTCTCTTGGTGCATTCAAGGATCAGTGGATGATCTTCTCCAATGGTGGATGACTGTCAAGCTCAAAAATTTTGATAGGTTAATTTGGAGAGCCATCCCCCTTATCGTTCTTTGGTCGCTTTGGAAACTTAGGAATGAATGTGTCTTTGCAGAGGCTCAACCTAGTCTCTCTGGATTGAGTGAAAATATCAAAATTAGAGCTGTACTTTGGCTGAAAGCATCTATTAAAGATCTTCCTTATTCCGTTGATGATTTAACTCTCAATTGGCGCCAAATCAGAGGATGTTCTTAACTGTTCTGGGTTTGAATGGATGTCCAGTGGCTGGGGATGGTATGCCAGTGTTTGGCTGTTGTCTTCTTTTTTTTGTCTTGTTTTGTTTTGTTCTGCTCTGTTTGTTGGTCTCTCACCATCTAGGAGCCTTGAGTGTGTGCTAGCAGATGATAGGGTGTGCGTTTTGGTGCCAACCTAGTTGGGATCCAAATGTTTCACTGTGATGCTTTTTGCACCCTCTTCTTTATTGATGTATTCTTATCACACTTGTTTTGTTTTTCATCAATAAAGCTTTTCTTTTGCCGATCAAAAAAAAAATTATGTGTATGCTTATTTGAATCGTGCTGATGTTCAAGAGGCCCTACATGCCAATGTAACCAAACTCAGTTATGATTGGGAACCATGCAGGTATGTACTACTATGTGTTTGGCTCTCTGTCCCTGCTTGTGCCCAATAAGAGTATGAAATTATTAGCTGAAATGAAACTTAATAAAATAATTGCAGTCGAGTCATCAGACGTTGGGAAGATAGTCCATCAACAATTATTCCCCTCCTCCAAGAGCTAATGGCAAATGGACTTCGAGTGTGGGTGTTTAGGTAAACACACACCCTTCCTTCTTTTCTCTTCGTCATCATTCATCATTGTTGTCCTCAGTATCATTACTTCTATTTATAATGGTAGTGAGTAAAATCATGTCGTATATATGCTTTCCATTCCTGTTAGGAAAATGACATTCACTTTTGTAGAAGGAGAGAAATTAAAATGCTGATTTAATTATTGAAGTCACCTCAATTAGGCCAATAAGTATCACTAAATGAATAGGGGTCAAAACTCAAAAATGGGCCAATCAGAAGACTGAACCAGATTCGACCCATTCGGACCAAATGGCCTAGACCAAGAAGTGACCAAGGGAACTTGTTGAGGTACTACTTGCCGAGCTTCACTTGCTGAGGGAGACCCTACCTTTGTGCCACCATTTTTTATTAGGATGCCGCCTTGTCACTTGTTGTCACTTGCTAAGGGAGAGGGAGTCATAGCAATTCCAACCTCTGCAACTACCTTCTAAGGCACAACAGCTTTCAAGATAGGCCTCCTCCATACAAGATAATGTATAGACACTTGGCGTTGATAGTAGGCACTAAGGCATTAATAGCCAAGGGCTAATAGTAGGCCTGAAACTCATATAGTTTGGCATTAATAGCAGTCCCAAAGCTTACTGGTTAGAGCTGATAACAAGTACCAAAAATACCAGTATACCACGACGACCTCGTGAAGATGGGAACAGGGTAGCCCGAAAGTAAGGGACTCCCTGTCCATATACCTAGGTCAAGGACTTGACTTGGCTGCACAAGCAGGACCAAGAAAGCCCCATTGAGTTTGGTACAAGGCACAACCTTTATTGTGGCCCATGTCCTGGGAAATTAGGGAGTTTGTGGTTAAATGACTAACGGTGAAAGAGTCACTGAGGTAGATACTAGTATGGCTAATAGCAGGTCATAAGTCCTGAAAGTACATGTTTTGGGAAACCGAGCTGAGAAGGCAAGTGTCGCGGCAAGTAGAACATCTCATTTTAAACCCTTTACAACTTTGAACTATGGACCTATTGTGGTCCAAATACATGATATACGTAAGACTTCACTTTTTTACAGTGAAAAATGCTCATAATAGATGGACTGACCCCTTGATTACTCTCTCCCTAGTTTCTACGTTCACAACTCAATCTCTAACTACTACAACATGGAATAAAAATTGAATGTTATGATGTTATTCACATGTAATAATTATATTTTAAAATAAAATATCATTTGGATGCCATTATTTAGATATAGTTTTAATCTAATAATTACAACTATATAAGATTCACTATGCCCACATCACATGCAGAGATAATTGTAGTGTGATCAAGAATATCATTTAGTAGGGTCATCATCAACTAGAAGTAATTAATTTCATAGGTTATATTTTTAAATTTACAAAATGTATATTGGAATCAACTTTCATATGATGAACTATATTTTCTTACGTTCTTAGTAATATTAACAAAGTAATTTGAACTAATCAAATGGTATGTAAAAATAAAAAGACATTAATTACTACTCCTTTAACCACCCCCCCCTCCAAAAAAAGTATATATTTACAATTCTATAATTGTCCACTACAAGTTTTGCATATTTTTTAGGGGTACTTACGTGTAGATCCTATAAGTGGACTTATTGTCTAATAGGTCCTGTGGAAAAAAATTGTCATAAAAAACGTTACTAATTATAAGTTTCAGCGACAATTTATAAAAACCATGACAAAAAAAAAAATCATTAATTGTCAATTTTTAGCGACGTATGTAAAAAAATTGTCACAAAAAATTATTTTTAGCGATAATTTTATCAAGATTTATTTTCAATAGGACTTGATCAGAATTAAGTCTAACTATTAGGACATATTAGTAGTTTATCCTATTTTTTAAAACGTTACAAGACAACATTGTTATTTATGTTGTCAAACACATATTTTTCAATATATATAAACAAGTAATCATTTATCCACATTTTTTTTGCGCATACCCCCTTGTCATGGAATTTCTATACGGGTGTTTTTTTAAATAAAAAAAAAATCAAAATCAAAATTCAAAGGTACTTAGATGCATGCTCTGCCCTTGAAGGACACAGCTAGGATTTTTGACGTAACCATTACTCTATGCATTACAATCTAGATCAGGCAAGAACTCCAACAAAAGAATCACGTTGAGTTGATTTTTATAGAAAAATCCGAACAATAAGTGATTTACTATTTCAGTTTGGATCGAGAAAATGTGGAATTTATTATTTTTCAAAATCCAAAGTTTGTGCTACTGCTACATCATATCACTTGTATACTAAATTTTTACTCGTGCAAATTGAGATATATGTGCTACATCATATCATCAATAAAGCTTTTCTTTGCCGATAAAAAAAAAGCTATGCCTTTTAGTTGTAGTCATTTCGGTCCTCCTCTTAATTTTGATGAAATATTTCACTTTTTGTTGAAAACAAACTGAAAACAATTGAACGAGGGAAAAGTTATAAATAAATTAAAATAATCAAATTGTTATGAATGACACATTGAAACAATTGGACTATATCTTCATTATTTTTGTATATAGTAAAAATCTAAATTATTGAGTACATTTCTGTTGGTTGGTTGCAGCGGTGACCTAGATGGAAGGTTACCAGTGACTTCAACCAAGTATTCTATTAATAAGATGAAGCTTCATCTTAAGACTCCATGGCATCCCTGGTATCTCAATGGAGAGGTAATTTACTTTATTTTATATTTTGTTTTCATTTTCAATTTTTTTTTTATAATTAATTTCATTTGTGGTCGTTGTGTTAATGATAATATAATATGGAGGAAGGAGTGTTTAAAATGATTAAGAATCACATGTGGGCTCACAAGAACTTCCTATTGGAAATGGACTTTAGTTTTGAGATTAGGTTAGTTTTTTTGTTTTTCTTTTCCGTGAAAGTTGAGTAGCTGAATTCAAGTGTAGATCCAATAGTATACATCAGCCCAAAAATCACACTTATTTTGTCCCAAAGCAAATTTGTCAAACAACTTTAAGGAAAGTGTTCGGATATTTAATTTGTGAAAGAATTTATAGGGCAAAAATAGAAGGAAAGGGTAGAGAGAAATGAAGTAGGAGGTACTTCTTTTCTTCTTCCTCTTTTCTGTGTTTTTCTTTTCTTTTTAACAAATTTCAAAATTTAAATATTTAATCTCATGATTTAAAAATAAAATATAAATAAATAGCTGGTTCTTTTAAGTAACTCTCAATCACCCCACCAATTATGTGAGCATGTGAAACCTGATTTGAGAGATTGAGAATTCAAAACTTGGGGCATAAAGATTACAAGACTTCGGGGGTACTTCATCATCAGGCAAAGAGAAAAAGGAGGTTCAAAAACAAAACAAAAACAAAAAAACAAAAAAGCAAAAAAGGTTGTGCTTTTTAAAAAGGAAATGCATGTATATCACAAATTCCTTTTGTAGTTTTATATGTCCCAAATTCATTAAAGTTGTTTTTATACTATGAATTTGTTAAGAGAAAAAACAAAGAACAAAATAAATAAAATTTTCTTTAATCGACTGGACTTCAATACTCTGTTGTGAGAGGTTTTTGAGCCCCATTAGTAGACACTTTGTGTTAGTGTCGTGGGACTCACAAGTTTCTCCTTGCTAAATGCTAAAGAAAAATGCTTGGTAGCTCGAATTTGTGTGGCCCGAATGGCTCAAATGTATCAAAACGACGTCGTTTTACCTCCAAAACGATGTCGTTTTGAGACATTCGAGTCATTCGAGGCATGAAAATTTAGGCTACCAAGCAATGTTGAATGCTAATACATTGGGAAAAAGCAGGGCTTGGAAATACCATTAGATAGAATCAAAGATGTCTTCAGTCATAACTAAATAATAACCATAATAGATCATAAACTAACGTCATAATAAGTCAAAACCAACACAAAAATAAGTAATAACCAAACACCACTTGAGGCATAATCAAAAACCTCTGTCGTAACCAAAGTAACAATTATAATACATCATATTTAAATCATAACCGGCACTATAATGAGTCATAACTAAATTATAACAAATACCACAATTGATCATAACTAAAAACCACAATATAATCGTAATTAGGCATATGATACATCGTTTTTTAAAATGTGTATTATAGAATTTTTCTCAATAGAAAACAAAAGAAAATTGCTTTCCCATGTGATATTGCTTGTATTTGTTTGTGTATGTATGATCAGGTTGGTGGGTACACTGAAGTATACAAGGGGGACCTAACATTTGCAACAGTAAGAGGAGCAGGGCACCAGGTTCCAAGCTACCAGCCTGCAAGGGCACTTTCACTTATTATGCACTTCCTGGCTGGGACTCCTCTCCCCAATTCTACAACACTTCTTCAATAACTATTAGACCTTTTTTTTTTTTTCCCTGTTCTACTATAATCAACATTGTTTTCTGCTTGTTCCAAGGCCTCTATTTATTTTTTTGTTTTTGTTTTTCAATTATATTTTAGGTCTAATTATAGCGTTTGATTAAGGTTTAGCACCATTTTTCATTTCATTTCCAATGGTAATTTATCATTATTTGGGAAAATAATTAATGTCTATTGTATGAAGCAATTTATATTTTATAATAATCAATTTGTTGTTTACCTGCCATTGGTAAGTTTTACTAGTAACAAATTAAGCTTGACAATAGCTTCTTATTTTTTTTATGTTATCGCAACATTTAATTTTGGAAGAGTTCTATTCCACACTCATGTGAGTGTTCCACATATCTTTGTGTGATTGATTTATGTTTTATATATATATATATATATATATATATTGTAAAATTTCTTGCAGATACTAACATAGAAGAGCACAAATTTGGAATCAAATGCAATCTTCATTCATCAAGATTCTTTTAATTATAAACAAATTAGAAAATCAATTTACTACTTAAAAAAAATAAAAACATAATGCCTTCTCTAGTCCTTTGCAATTTGGTTATTATTGCAAACTTCAACGTACATCCCACCAAGCCAATTTCATTTAAATAATTACAACTAAAAATAAAGTTCAACAAGATTAATACAAAAATGACATAACAATGGCAATTTTCAAAGGAGACTCCGCGATAGTTCCCTCATTATAAGTTTATAGGGTAAATTATGCTTTGTCTGCTTTGTGTTTGGTCATTTTTTTATTTTGGTCCTTAAAATATTTTTTTTTCATATTTAAAGTTTTTCCTAATTTATCCAAAAGCTAACTTATATCCAAAATTAGACAAAAAAATAACCTATTGATAATCACATGACATAAAAATAATTTATTGTATATAACTTACTGATAAAAGTGTAAGTTCCAGAGCTCACTCTACAGCTCACAAACAGATTGCAGAGCAGCCCTCCAGCCCAAGCTCACAACAACAGCAGTAGTCCTCATACTAATGAAAACAGAACTAGTGGAATTGGTTAGCTTAGACATTTAGATATAGTTAGTTACAGAGAGGTAGATATAGTTAGTTAAGAGTTTGTTATAACAAACTCTTACCCACTTGTATAAATCCTTGTAATCAAGTTGTTATTGTATGAAATGAAGATCATTCTGTTTCTTTTCATGGTATCAGAGCCTTGAGCTCTCACGAGCCTCAAAGTGCTTCAATGGCAACTTCTCCCTCCATTCCACAGAACCTTTCTCTTCTACTTTCAAATTTCAATTCCTTTGTAACTGTAAAGTTAGATTCTGCAAATTTTCTGATTTGGAAAAATCAAGTTCAAAATATCTTACGAGCAACTGATCTTCTTGAGTTTGTTCTTGGACTGAAAGCTTGTCCAAACTCTGAAGTTCTTGATTCATCTGGAAAAACTGAAGCTAATCCAGAATTTCTTCAATGGAAGACAATGGATGCTCATCTACTCAGTTTTCTCACTGCTACACTGTCATCACTTGTATATGCTTCAGTGATTCAATATCAACACTGCTTTGACGTTTGGCATGCTCTGGAAAAGCGATACACATCTCTCTCTCGTTCGCATATTCATCAATTAAAGAATAAATTGCAGTCTGTTACGAAAAAAGGATTCACCATGACTGAATACCTGACTCAAATCAAAGAGATTTCAGACCAGCTTCGGCTTGCTTCATCAACAATTGACGATGAAGATCTTGTCCTCTTAACTCTGAATGGCTTACCAGAAGAGTATGATGCACTTAAAACAACCATACGTGCTCGAGTGGAATCCATTACAATGGATGATCTGTGTTCACTCTTGTGTTCTGAAGAAATTCATGTTGAAAACAAGGCCAGACTTGTTGTTTCTGCTTCTCCAGTAGCTTATGCTGCAACCAAAGGTTCTGAGATTTCACAGTCCTCTCCTCAATATGCAAAATCACATTTTACCAATCCTTCTAGTTACAGAGGTCGAGGTCAATTTCGTGGTTATAGAGGAGGACGAAACAGAGGCGGACGGTTTTATAAGCCTCACAGGGGACGGTCTATTTCCACCAACAACAGTGGTTGTCAGATCTGTGGAGGTTACAATCATAGTGCCTTTGACTGTTGGTGGAGAATGGATCCTAACTTTCAGCCTCAAAATTCCAATTCTTCCTCTCAATCTTCCCCTCACGGTATGTCTCAACCACACGCATATTCTGTTACCAGTGCACCAACCACTTCCTCCTCTGCTTCGTCTACTCCTTGGTACATTGATTCTGCAGCTACAAACCACATCACTAATGATCTCACAAATCTTCATCTGTATCAACCATATCAAGGTCCAGATCAAGTCAC